TAAAAAATAAGAAATAATAAGTAAAATTAAATATTTATTTAATTACAAAATTATTCATATTACTAATAATTAATTTTGTTATCAATAAAACAAGTTTTTAAATTAATACCTTTAAATTAAGATCTATTATTTATAACAATACATACTTTATTATATATAATTACAAAATATTTTTTTATAAATTTATATATATTTTTAAATGTTTTAGTATATATTAATAAAATAATATCATGTTTAAAAATATTAAATTATTTATTTGATTTTTATATAAATCGAAAGAAACATTAAATAAAATTTATCCAATTTAAAGTTTACTCTTTGGATAAAATAATTGTAGGTTTTGGTTGTGGAAATTTATTTTATTTTTTAAAAATATGATTTCTATTTGTTTAATGGGGCTCGACATATATTTATTCGTGTCATGTAAAAAATAAGTTTGATACAACAGTGATTGTGATATATCTAATACATAGCACATCCTTAATAAACAGTAATTAAAAAAAATTGATTTATGAAAACGAAAGTGGTTGATAATTTGGAGGTTTATAATCAAACTTAATAATATTCATGGTGTTTCTGGGGGAATTTCGATCGATTTCGATTCTAAAGGTGTCTCGGTCTTAATCGAAATCCTACCACGTAAGTTCTTTTTACTTAGGCTAGCAATTTGATTTTCAATCGAAAACGTGTATGAGAATCGAAAATCACAGGATATCAAAAACGTTGTTTTTGGTGTTTTGTATTTAAAGTATCGAAAGCATTAAGACTATCGAATCGAAAAAGCAAAATGTTAAATTGCGAGGAAATGTAAAGTGCGAAAACCCCAAACTTGCATTAATTGTAAATAGCAAGAAATCGAAAACAACGCAAATATAAATGACAAGAAATCGAGATTGCAAGAAAAGTAAATGACAGGAACTTGAGATTTGCAGAAAAGTAAATGACATGGAAACCTAAATGCATAAACTTAAATTTTCATTGAATTGAAATGACAAGGAATCGAAAATACAAAAACATAAAACTGCTGAATTTAAGTTGCATCAAAATAAATTACCAAGGAAAATACAGAAAGCGGTAAATGTACTCAGTGAGCAAGGAAATCCAGATTGCCAGAAGCTTCATGGTGTTCGTCGTTTCTCCGGTAGACTTTTCACTACTGATTCTGTTCTCTGCCAATTTCTGTTCCCTTGTTCCTTCCTCCTTTGCTCTATTTATAGGGCATCCTTTAAGCCTTCCGAGAGCAGTTAACGCGACTGCTACCACGTTCTACGTGCGTATGGCAGTTTATCTTCTATAGTTTCCCACGTTCTCACGATCTCTGACTTTTCCCATGATTTCAAAACTGCTCTTTATACGTGCATTCGACTTACTTCCTTTCACGATTTGGCCAAAGTCTCGATGTCCATATTGGCTTTCTTTTCTCTCGATTCTGTATTTTTCGAGAACTTCGAATTGCTTACGATTCCTTTTTAACCCTGGTCTTATATGACTTAGTTTTTATTCGACAACAGTCATTTGATTATAATTCATTCGATTCTCGATTGTGCTTCTCGATGCTATGTGCTACGTATTTCTAATTAGACATCGAATGAATTTTTGTTTATCTTATCGAGTCACATTTCTTTTCTTCGATTTCGATCGCTTTTCTCGATTTGCCACTAACACATGGCAACTAAAAATGTATTTTACCTAATGAAAACATAGTGATTCGATATAACTTCAGTTCTTTATTTTTATATATTGAAAATGTTTAAAATAAATGAAATCATTATTAAAATATCAAACTAGTTGAAAATGAATTTGATCGAATAAAAATAATTATTACAATTTGTTTAAGTTTGGGTTCCTACGTTCAAACCAGACTTAATACTCTAATTTCATTGATTTGTAGAGGATTTTGAACTTTTGATGATGACAGTTTGTTATTCTACATTATTAGGCTTTTTTTTTTATGTTAAATTATGAACTTATAACAACATTCACCGTTATGGTTAAGGTTTATTTTATGATAGAAAATACGAATAAAACAATAGAATTAATTTATTTTAATTTCTCTTTACCTCTTCTATCTAAAATTATATATACATTAATAAAACTTGTTTGATCTTCATTTTAGATCTATTCACTGACAATTTTTTTATATGATTCTTAATAAAATTGATGCAAAAAATTTAAATTTTGAAATAAATTAATAATTGAAAATAAAATAAAAAACCTTAAATAAAGAAAAGTGTATAAATAAAGTTTTGATAAACTTCAAGACGATTATTATAATAATTGATAAAATTTTAATAAAATAAAAAATTGCAGAGAATAACATTAACAGAGATATTATTCTTTGATAAAATTATCTGTTAGACTTTTTTTTAACTCAATAATTATAAATAAAAATTTAGGATTTTCTTAGAATTTTACTTTATTTATAATTAAATAAAAGAAAAAGAAAATCAACAAAATTCAAGTAAAACTAATTTGTATCAAAGATAAATTAAACAAATATTAAACTATTGGTTCTTTGAATTTTTCAATATCACAAAGTATTTATATTATTAAACAATTAAATCTCTACTTAAAAAATTAAATAGTGATAAAACAAATTAATTCAACATTAACAAAAATGGATAGTAAAAGAAAAAATAATCACTATCAAAGATAATAACCAATTTAATGGTTAGTCACTAATTTCGTTATTTAGCAATTAAAAGAAAATAAAATGATTGAAAAGGGAAAATTAGTGTATAGAAGTTCTAGAAATAATTTAATAACTAAATTTGAAACACAAAATAACAATATAATTATAGTTTGAAGGAGAGACCTCTTTAAACGACTCAAAATATAAAAATCCATAAACTTTTCACAAGAACACATCACCAACATGCCTTAAATCATTACTATCAAAACAACACTCAAATAAATTCTTTCTACTTCTTCTAAAACTCTCTAAATCCTCACTTTCTTTATATATGAAGTGTGGCTGAGTTATAGTCTATTAAAATAAAAATAATTAATTTTTTGCAAAATCCAATTTAAGTAAAAGGTTAACATTGATTTAAATTTTATTTAAGAAGAAAAAAATATAGCATAATTATATTATGGAATGCAATTTTAATATTTTATAATTGTGTTATTTTTTCATTTTTAGGGACATAATTTATATATGTCTCCAAAATGTTTAAGACAATCAATATAAACACTATGTACATTTTTTATTTCAAAACTAAACCTAATCTCTCTTATTTGATTTTTTTTTCAAATAACATGAAAAAGGTTATTAACGAAACATGTACCAAAATTATAGTTGACCATTTGAATTCCATAATACCCAAAAAAATGAGGCACGTATGATCTACTCTAGTTGACATAATGAACTTGGCTAGGCTTAAAAAAAAGTTTGGTAAAGTTGGGTCGAATTTGTTAGATTCTATTATACAAATTTAACTCTTGTGTGTATATCTTAGAAATTTATAGGTAAAACGTTTAATTTTTTTTTCTTAAAAAAGTGAGTAAAATTTTGGAGACTCATTTTTATAAAAGTAAGGTTCTAAGACTCAAAAGAAAAAACTATAGAAATACTTATATATAATCTATTATCGAAATTTTTATGATGAGAATAAGATTAAATTTATGCCCTTATAATTTTATAAGCACGAATCAATGTTATGATCATCCATGATGAAGAGTACACAGGCATAGACATTTTAGCAATGTAGGTGTGTTTATGGTAAACCATGCGGGTTTCTAAAAGTGCTTTATTTGGATTTTGGAGTCTTAATTACACTTTAATTGCCGTTGAACGCATCAATTAGTGAATTGATTAGTTTTAATCGCTGCTATTGGTTTTGTCAAAGAATTTCACAGTGACCATGTTCTGTTCTGCTGTTGCATGTAACTTGTTTTGAAGCACGGTGAAAATGGAAGCAATTACCCATATCATTCTGGGGTAGGTTCAAAACTCATGGCACTCTTAAAAGTAGTAATAAAAAAAAGATTCATGCTTTTACGATTTACGAGGAATTAGAAGCAGTGAATGTTGAGTATAAATTTGAAGAGTTAGGAAGTTAATGAAGGTGTTGATGAGGTGAAATACCACCATTAATGAGTTTTCATTGCGGGGCACAAGCAATGAAATTCATAGTTCGAATTTGGGAAATTATTGAATAAAAAAGAAGAAAAGAAAAAAAAGAGAGAGTAGGGGAACTTATCTACTTTGGTAGGGTAATTAAGAAGGAGGACAAGTGGCAAGTGAAATTGAGAAATGACAGGGAATGAGAAGCTTGGCTTTGGCAGCAAGGATGAGATCTGAGACTCAGACTGAGAGTGATTTTCACTTTCTTCCAAATGAGAGTGGGTGACATTTCCCATATTTACCTCAACATTCAAACACAACAAATTAAATTAATTATAATCATGTTTATTAAAATTAATGATACTAATTACTATTATTATTATTATAAAAATTATGTCATCTAAATTAAATTGTGTTATTATTACTGAGATGAAAAGAGATGAAGTGGTAGAATAAAAGGAAGAGAAAACCTGTCTCGTGAAGAAGCAGGTGGAGGAGGAGGAAAAGAAAAATAAAAGCTCACTCTTTTTCTTCTCCGTTCTCCTTCTTCCTTCCCTCTCTAGAAAAAAAAAAAAAGAAGAAGAAAAAAGCTTTATTTTTTATTTACCCTCTTTCTCACTCTAAGAATTCTACCACCACCAGCACTCAACACTCAGAACCAACTCACTCACGTTCATTCTTTGCTTGCTCCTTTTATATCACGAGATCCCCATCCCTTTCTTTCTTTCTTCTCCTCTCTCTCTTTCTCTCATGTCTTCTTCTTCTTCTTCTTCTTCTTCTTCTTCTTCTTCAGAACTTCCCAATTCTCGCTCCTCCACTTCCAACACCAACACCTTCACCACCACCCATTGCTAACACTCAACCCCTTAGTTGTAGTTGTTGTTGTTCTTCATCCTAAGCTTCAATTTTGAGCCAACCCTTCTGCTTCCGAACGATGTCGCATTCGTCCGGCGTCGACGCCGCCTTCGCCGATCGCTTCCGCCACGCGCTCAGCTGCAACAACGACACCAGCAACATTAACAAGCCCGACTTCCGAGAACTCGATCTGGGCTCCCCGGTCTCGCCATTGCGCACCACGCGCGCCCCCGCCGCGAGTACCAGCTCAAGCTCATCTGGGTCCTTCTCGGGTCGAACCGGGCCCAACCCGGTTCCCCGAAAGCCCGAATCTTCACACACCAATAGTAACACAAATAACAACAGCAACAACAACAACTCCGGCGAGCTTTCTGGTTCGAGTGAGAACAGCCCCACCGCGCGTGGGTTCAAACCGGGTCACACGAGATCCGACTCCGGATCTGCGCCGGCGCCGCTGATATATTCTGGCCAGACTGCCACTTCTCCGGCGATGAATGTTCTCCCCACCGGGAACATCTGCCCCTCCGGGAAGATCTTGAAGACGGGGATGGGGATGGTGGCGAATCGGAGTAGTAGAAGCGATGTTTTGGGGTCCGGCATGGGGAACTACGGCCACGGGAGCATAATGCGCGGCAGTGGGAAGGCGGAGCCGGTGATCTCTCGCGGTGGCGGCGGCAATGAGACAGTGAAGAGAGGTGGGCACGTGCAGAGTGTGGATCCGGAGGAGTTGAAGAGATTGGGGAATGAGTTTTATAAAAGAGGGAACTTTGCTGATGCGTTGAGTCTTTATGATCGCGCGATTGCGATATCGCCGGCTAGTGTCGCTTACCGGAGCAACCGCGCGGCGGCGCTGACCGGGCTCGGACGGTTGGGTGAGGCTGTGAGGGAATGTGAGGAGGCTGTGAGGTTGGACCCTAATTATGGAAGGGCTCATCAGCGTTTGGCTTCTCTTTTCCTCAGGTGCAGATCATTGATCATGCTTTTTTGCTTGCTGTTTGAATTTTGTTGAAGGTGGTACTTGTTAGTATTTGATGGCATTGGATGATTTGAGTTCTTCTTCCATAAGCTAAAATCAACTTATGAATCTCAGCTTTTGGAGAAGTTGGTGCATTTGTTGATTTGAACTTGTAGAAGAAGCTCAATTCATTTTACCTTCTCAACAAGATTTTGGTTGCCTTATTGTGTTGATGTATATGGCAAGTGGTAATGTGACAGGTTAGGACAAGTTGATAATGCTAGGAAGCACCTTGGTTACCATGGGATGCAGCCAGATCCATCTGAGACGCAGAGGTTGCAAGTGGTGGAAAAACATATCAGCAAATGTGGGGATGTACGGAGAATAGGGGATTGGAAGAGTGTTCTCAGGGAGGTTGATGCTGCTGTTTCTGCTGGAGCGGATTCTTCACCTCAGGTATGGATAATGTTGTTATTGTTTTCAGGGTTTTAGATTGTGATTTTGGTTTCAGTTTTGTGGCGATCCTTCCTGTCAAATTTGGCTGATGCAGCCGCTGTTGCAGTGGTGAGAATGCGCCGAAATTACCACTATTTAAAACCTTGGTTGTTTGTTATCATTGTTTTGTTATATCTGAGTTGGATATGTTTTGGAGGAGTGGATGAAATAGCTGAACTGGTTGGAAATTGAATTTACAGCTCTTTATGTGTAGAGCAGAAGCGTTTTTGAAGCTCCACCAGATTGATGATGCAGAATCAGTTTTGTTGCATATTCCTAAATCAGAGTTGCACACTAGTTCCTCTTCTCAGGCAAGATTTTTTGGGATGCTTTCTGAGGCCTATTCCTATTTTGTCAGAGCACAGATTGAGATGGCATTGGGAAGGTGAGTTCAGATAACGATAGCCTTCATGAGTAATACTAAGATGGTGAAAGGTTTCTGTTGGAAGGTGAAAATGAAAATGGACGATGGGTATATTGCAGGTTCGAGAATGCAGTTACAGCTGCTGAGAAAGGCAGTCAGATTGATCCTCGGAATGTTGAAGCTGCTGTTTTGCTCAACAATGTGAGGATGGTGGCAAGGGCCCGAGTGCGCGGAAATGATCTTTTTAAATCTGAAAGGTACACTGAAGCTTGCTCTGCGTATGGGGAAGGTTTGAGACTGGACCCTTCGAATTCTGTTCTATATTGCAACAGAGCAGCTTGTTGGTTTAAGCTTGGGCAATGGGAAAGATCAATTGAAGACTCCAACCAAGCTTTACATATCCAACCAAATTACACCAAGGCCCTTCTTCGAAGGGCTGCATCAAACAGCAAGGTGAATTGATTTCTTATTGTTCATGATAATGTTTTTTTTTTTTTTTTTTTTTTCATGAAGTTCTGTGATACCATTCTTTCTTATAAATGTAGCTAGAGAGGTGGGAGGAAGCCGTCAAAGACTATGAGGTCTTGCGGAGAGAACTTCCAAATGATAATGAAGTTGCTGAATCGCTTTTCCATGCACAAGTTGCCCTAAAGAAATCACGCGGTGAAGAAGTATATAATTTAAAATTTGGTGGCGAAGTGGAAGAAGTATCAGGTCTTGAGCAGTTTAGAGCTGCAATATCTTTACCAGGTAATTGAAATGGTTAGAGAGGAGTCTTCTGCAACTCTCATTAGTCATTTATAAAATCTATGATTAATACCTATAAACTTGGCAGGTGTATCTGTTGTCCATTTTGAAGTTGCATCTAACTCACAATGCAAACATATATCACCATTTGTGGACACACTATGTGGTCGATATCCATCTATTAACTTCCTCAAGGTATCCCCTTGAAAATTAAATAAAGTGTTTTTACTCTGCTATCTGTCGTTTTATTTAATAGAGATTTAAAAGAGCAACATATGGGAATTTTCTAATGCATGCAATTGTCTTTTGTGTCTTTGAATGAAGGTGGATATTCAAGAAAACCCAACAGTTGCAACTGCAGAGAACGTTAGGATTGTACCAACCTTCAAGATATACAAAAATGGCAGCCGAGTGAAGGAAATTGTATGCCCTAGTCGTGACATGTTGGAACACTCTGTGAGGCATTACAGCTTTTAGGGCTCATGACTTGTAATGCTTCTCTGTTTCTGGAATTCCTGTTGTTTCCCAAAACCTCCGGTTAAACTCTCTAGTCTCTGCAGCTCCTCCAGTCTTTTGATCCCACCCACCATAAAGTGATCACCCCATACATGTGACATAGTCAAAACCAGATAATAATCTCTTTAGCAGCCAATGCCATTGGATCCCAGAGATAGTCTAGTTCCTTTTGGAGTTTTTATTTATTCATTCATTCCTCATTGCCCTTTGGTTCCATGTTCGTTCCTCCCATTGCCCTTTGTCGATTTTCTTTTTCTTCTCTACTCCTTTTCAGTTCACTAGGTCAGCTGTTCTTGTACTCCCAGTTTCTTTAAGGTTAAAAGAAAAAAAATTGTTTTTAATGTATGTACAATTTAATTATCAGTTTAAATTACCTCTTAAGATAGACAAATATAGACAGATATAGAATGAAGGGAGGGGAGGGTGTTGTGCTAGTTTGAAGGGGATCTGTAAATGTATATATGTGATGATATATACAAGACACTGGAAGCCTTTGAGGGGAGAGATAGGATGAGTGGTGGGTACCTACTGAGTTAGCAAAAGGAGCATGAAGATGTTATTATTATCATTATTGTTTTTTTTTTCTTTTAATTTTCCTTATCCTATCTTAGCCATTGAATCAATAAAAAGTTCCAAATTTTTTTTTTTCCCTTTCTGCTCTTTGCTCTGTTTCATTGTCCTTGAAGAGTTAAAAAACCATACAAGTGAAGAGTGTTGTTGAGAGGAAATTGTGATTTATGCATTGGGGAGAGGGTGGAAAAGGTGAGTGGGTCTTGGGATTGGAAAATGGTCGGTTTTGGCATTCAAGTTGATGGTCTTTTCTTGGTTATGTTTGACATCTAAAGGCAAGAGACATGTGTTTTAAATGAAGGTTGGTTATGTAATAGAGGGTGTGAGATCGGGTGGTCGATGCCATTCATAACTCCATCATTCATCTTTGTAACTTGATTGGGCGGTGGACCCCTAAATAATCATAATTAAAAATACCAAGCAAATCAAATCTGAGTTTATTTTAATCTGGCCCGAGATAATAGTTGAAAAGCACAACAAAAAATAAATAAAACTATTGTTATGTATATATATGAATGTATTCTAGTGCGGGCTTCGTGGTTAGGATCACATGTGGGGGCATTTAAGAAGTTGCTTTCTTTCTTTCAAATGGGGGCACTTTTCTCTCTCTCTCTCTCTCCCTAAAGAGTCCAAAAGGGTGGTGATGGTGGGTGTTTGATGTGCCAGTGTTTGCTGCTCTGTATGTGAACTGTGTTATGGGTGGTCATCCTAATTAGTGGGGCTTGGTTAGTTGTTTCCCATTGTTTGTGGACCTCTAGAAGGGCATGGGATGGGGAGGAGTTAAGTTGTAGATTTAAGTTTGTTTTAAAGGTAGATGCTTTTCACCAAGATGGGTTGGATTAGTGGAAGGAGATCTGGGGTTGAGAAATGCCAAATGTAAAAGAATGATAATAACATGAAGAGGGTAAAGAGGGAAATGGGATTGGGTGAGTAAGTGGCTGAGAAATGTTGGAATGGGAAGAAGTGTGGCGGAATCTTGTGTCGGTGTGTCCAGCTGTTAAAACCAGAGGCCCCACACGTGCGCTGTAAAGGGAAAAATAATAAAAGGCACAATACCCTATGTCTCCCTAATGTCTTCTCTTAACATCAATTATTCTTATTTTTTTTTTATTCATATTTATAATTTATAATAATAAAGAAAAAGGGTTGAGTCGGGGAGGATACTGTACCAAACGTACTGTGTACGACAACAACATAATGAGAGAGCGTTGGCAAGGTGAAACAGGGAAACCATTTCAAACTCGTTTTTTTCTTCTTTCTTCATCCTAATCATGCCACGCCACCACGCATTATTGTATTCATTTTGCATTGCATGGATGCTACTCAATATCCTCCCATTAACCTATTTTACTTGACATTCTTTTCCATCCACAATACAAGATTGCATCGTAAAACTGTTTCCCCCCATAATTGAGGGTCAATTGTACGAGTAGCTTTGAATTAACGTTAGCTTAACCTTTTAATCTTATAATATTATTGGGTGAACGCCAAAACATACTGCAATAATTGATTTCGTAAGCTCACATCTGCCTATAAAAAGTTCTATTCCACGCTTTCTATGTACAAATATGTTAAAAGCTAGTCCATGCAATTTAGACCACAGTTCCGTAGTGGAACCATCTTACTACTAATACCAAATGTACAATCCAGTTAGAACGAGTACATGACTAAACGAAGATGATAGAAAAAAAAAAACGCTATTATGTAGTGCTTACTGAACATTGAACAAGTTCTATTAGATCCCTTTCGTAACTATTTTACAAATTTAAAACATATGTTATTCAATCAGTAAACATCAAATCCAACTTATTATCAAATTTATGTTTTCTAAAATTACCCTACACATAAGAACGACTGAAAAATTTATTAATTTGTGTCATCTTTCTAATCCTCACAAGATAAAAGCGATTTCATCTGGTTAAGTGTAACAATGCCAAAAAAAAAAAAAAATCTAAGATAGTTTTTTCTTTAATTAAATGATTGATGCACGGACCGACTATTTTTTTTAAATTGTCTTATGAACGGATGGAAGTAGAATTATATTATATTTTGAAAATTGGATTATTCGATTTAATTGAGAATAGCTTGTTATTTTAAATAATCAAATTTTAATTAAATTAAGATAAAATTGATAAAATCAATCAAATTTTTTTAATCAAACTTTAGTAAAAAAAATTAAGATAAATTTTTGTTAAATATAATTTTTTATACAAAATATAATATATTTTATTATATTTTTTTCTTATTTTAATAATTATTTATTTTATATTTTATAATTTATAATAATCATAATAATATTTTTTATTATTTATTTAAAAAAAATTATTTTAACGAACTTATATATTTATTATATTAATAAATTCGATTAGATTCAATTAAATATTTAAACCCTAAATCCGATTCTTTCCCAGTTAAATAACCAGACCAATTTTAAAAATATTAATAAACAAAAACATGTAATTAAATTCGATATCTTCTACAGCTTTCGATTATCCAATCTCTGAAATTAGTTAATAATTCATCGCAGTACCAGAATAATTAACACTTTGACAGTTGAAGAATTCCCCAAAAAAGAAACCAAATTTCAAAAAACTGTAAAAAATAAAGTACACAGTTACAATTTAGTTTAAGACCTATATAAAATTTCTCAAAAGAATTCAAAATGCTGCTTCAATATGTCTATGGGTTAAGCTCTTGAAATACACAACCAAACGAATTGAACAGGGATGGAGGAGTCACGGAAAAGGAGACACATGAACACAAACTTATTCGAAAATTTTGTACTATTAAGTTTGAGGATCCCAAATTACTTGGGAGTTGGGAGATGAAGTATGTTTAAATTTGTCAGATAAAAGGATCACATATTTCCATACAAGTTCCAAGAAGGCTTCCAGGAGAAAGAAAGTAATAAACAGGTAACCTGAAGCTATGAGGAATATTAACTCCAAAATATTTTTGAACAGATAACTCCTCCAAATTTGCATGTAGATTTGCCAGTTATATAGCATACGCTTCCACTATAGTTATTTGAAGCCATAAGTTCCCACCCCACCGAGCTTTAGGCACCACTGGCATACAACCGAGTCCATTCCTTGGCTGCACATTTCAATGCCACCATTTAATAAGATAATATGCATATAACATGTTTCATGAAATCATTTACAACTAACTTTTACGTAATAGAACAAGCAGAAAAGGATACCTGTTTCCACAGCCTCGGCCTCGTTAGTTTTCCAATGCTTGGCAATGTTTTCAGAAAGAGGGTCATCTGGGTTTGGTGCACTTAGAAGTGCTTGAATACTACAAGATAGTCACAAAAATTAACAATATCAGTACACAATACTCTTTGCAATCAAGGGCAAGTTGTTATTTTTCAATCATTTGTCCTAAAAATAAAAAATTTATGTCCAGAGAGATGGACATATACAAACTTAGTCACCCGCAAAATAAAAAAATTCATGTTTCTTCTCCCCTTTATCTATTGTGCTAAAACAGAATATTAATGGTTTTAAGAACCATTTCACAGTAAAGTTTTACAAAACAAAATGGAAAAAATTATTTCCAGCAAAGTGATTAAGACACCTAAAAGTTAAATTTATAAACTTCCATTTTCAGACTAGATTTCTCTGTATCTATATAATCACATCTTCCATACAGAAGCAACACAAGGTCTGAGACTGACAATTTGATTGATATTTACATTTCTTCAGGAAATGAATAGGTCTCTGTCAATACACATCCACTAGCAAAAGTTGAAACAATATACCTCAAAAGTACAGTGCGAATCTGAAGGGCTGGACTCCACTTGTCCTTCAGAATGTCAAGACATATCCTGCCAAGCTGCAATTGACTTAGTGTAAGATAAATCATTACCGAAGAAAATAATGGGAATGTAAGGGAAGCCAAGTGTACCTTATCAATGTTTGGATGATATATTTTTGTCAGAAACCTAACCTGAAAGAAGCAATATGCATGATCAGAAATAAATGGAGAATTATTTTTTTATAAAGCACTCATTAAATTCATCCGTAAGGTATTATCATCATTAAAATTAAATCTAAATCAGTAAGTAATATAAGAGAAAATTGCACCATCACACAATTATGAGATGGATAAATATAATTAACCCCTTTAAGATGGGGTGGGGGAACGGGAAGAAAAGCAAATTGGAGCAATTTGGCAACATAAAACCCCAATCAGATGTAAGTAAGAGCTGAAAGTACACACTTTCCTGACCCTGTCCTGGAATGGGTAGTGGCCTCAAAGGTGATATGATTTATAAGGTATGGTAAGTAATTAGTATCCTAGTTCTATCTGCCTAGTGAAATGGTAATAAGACTTAATCTCAAGACCACACAAGACAACTGAACAATATGCCAACCCAAGTCATGGAGAAAATATTTCAATTATATCAATAAATAAAAATGACATTAAATTTAAGTCTGTTTACAATTTTTTCATTGTTTCAGCTTCAACAAGGAAAATCTCGAAGGATATAACTGAATTTAGACTTCAGACTAGTGGCTGTTCAATTATTTACATGTTTTCAGGATACACGTCATGACATTGATAGGAGGCAGGCAATCATCATAATACCGAAGATCATAGTTAAAAAAATTCAGATAAAACAGTTAAAAAAATTCAGATAAACAATGTACATTGTCATTTCTTTTATGTGGACAAGAACTCAACAGATACTTGACACCAGAAGAATATTGCAATGTATATAGGAAAAAAATATTAAATTATTTACCTTAGGAGCAGCCATCGGATATTCTTCTGGCAAAAATAATTCTAGTTTAAAAACTCCACCTGTATAACAAACAAGAAAATTGTATGTTAGCAAAGATGTGAGACACAAAATTCTGGGTTTAGGGGCATATAAGCATCAGCATCATGTCTAGAAGTGATAAATAACAATTGCAAGTTCAAAATTTCATGCATCGGGCACAAGAAACTTCCTGCATTATATACAACAGGGCACATTTCTCTCCTTTACAGTAAAGTGCAGAATATTAACTGCTAGTGCAAAAATAAACTGAGACCTCCTACCATATCAGTGATTAGTTATACAGGGGTTTGTATTCTACAAAAATATAGGCAGTTTTTTCTTCATTGATGATTTTCTATTCTGCACTTTATGCTGTAAAGGTGTACCATTCAGAAGTCCCAATTCTATTTGAATAAAGCTAGTCCATAGGCATTTTGAAGAGAAAAAGGGGTAAAATGTATTAAGTTAAGCTAAAATCAACTTGGGCACCTTAACTCTTTAGGGTCTGTTTTTTTCTTTTCTGTGTTGAGAATAGCTAATGAATATGTCAAATGAAAGAACTTCGATAAGAGTTAAGTTGATTATAGTTTATACAAGAATCAAAGTTCATTTTTCCATTTTAGTCGACTGTGGAGTAATTTATCCAAACAAGGCCTTCATAACTTAATTCTTAAATGTACAAACAATTAAGAGAAGATAATCTTGTATAATACACTGTCTATGAATTTATAGTTTCAATTTCCATGCATGACCTGGGGCATGACACTAAAACTTTCTACAATGAGCCAAAAAAGAGGGAACTAAAATAAAATAGAAAAGCCCATCACACATGCGATGACCCTACAACAATCATTCAATCCAACCTTCTAAACCCCCACAAGAAACCTTTAGGTGCAGAAAAACACTTCAGGTGATGATGATGTTAAACAGAAATAAGCTCGCCATTCATCAAATAACCCACATAAAACTTATTAGCTGAATTGATAGCATGAAAATATAGGAGACATGGATACACACATAGAAAAAAATCTGAAACTGAATTAGTAAAAATTCATAAAATTTTAAAAGGGTTAAGATACAACAAATAGAATTAATATAATATGAACATAAAAGCACAAACCTTAAACAAAGGCATGAATACTTCATACGTCAGCATTAATCACTGTACACAACATACTGTATTGTAATCTATCCAAATTCTAATCATTGTGGCATCCAACTTGTATTGGTGCAGCAACTCAACAAAAATTGGAAGATGTAGGCTAGAAGCATCTAAAAGTATCTAGAAAGCACTACTTATAAAAGGAATGACTTAGAATTTAATTTGGTCACAAGAAAATGCTTCATTAGTTATTCTACTAGAATAGTGAACAGTGTCAAAGGAAGCTAGAAATGAGACAAGCAGTTTCTTGATGTAACAAGAGTGGAAACCGAATATATATATATATATATATATATATATATATATATATATATATATATATATATATATATATATATATATATATATATATGTGTGTGTGTGTGTGTGTGTGTGTGTGTGTGTCTATGGTGTCTGGAAAATTTAATGTCTATTTAAAAAAATTCTCAGGTCGGTGGCAAACAAGAAGAAAAATGGAGTGCACCAAGATAATGCATTTCATAGAAAAATGCCCGAGATTCAGATGTAGAAAGAGGCAAGTTCATCTAAATAATTCAAGAAGCAGAAAACCCATAGTTGTTACTGATTATAATGATACGACTTAATATTTCTCTTCCACTCATCATTTAGAATAGACCAGCATTTTACATATCCAGGCCATTTAGCCATCATATAACTGTTAGCATATGATGACAGATATAAAATGTAATCAAATGGAATTATTGTGGTAAGAAACGATGATTGTCCTTTCAGAAATGTTTTCAAAACAAATTCAATTGTCTGAAGTTCATAGAAATTATCAATATAATACTTTCAAAACACCCAAATCAACCGGAAATTAGCTTTTCATTTCTTTCCGAGACAACAAATCATTAATAATTTCAAGGTTAAATCTAAACAGTTAAGTTCGTTACTACCTTCATAAGGTGACTGAGTCGGGCCAAGGATCATGACATTGAAATATCTCATATTGTCTTCCGAAGGGGAAGCACTAATTCCAGGCGCTGATCATCAGATAATAGCGCAAGACACAAACAGTTAAATCAGTAGACAAAACACAAGGACGAAAACCATGCAATATAAGAGACGCAACACAACAAGCACTACTCAGTTAGCTTAAGGCGAGCTTCTAAAGCACTAAAAAATTGTTGGGAATTTCAACTTACCTGGCTCACTGAGCAAACGCTGCGTTTCCTGTTGAGATCAAACAACGAGGAGTTACCAAAACATCCACAGTTACAAAAAACACAGAACGGAACAAAATCCAGAACTACAATTCGATGCCAACCCAAACACAAAAAAAGGGGGTCGAACCCCGAATCAGCCCCAACACTTCCCATTTTTTATTTCGGTACATCATCACTGAAATTAAGGAATTTAAAGTGTAAAAGAAACATTTTCGGAATTGACCCTAATTGAAAACAGCAGTTATTTGTTCAATCAAGCATTTGGGTCACACCATACTAAAAAAATGAACAAAGCCAGGAAGCATGAACGGATTTCGGGTTCTTTTGTTTTCTGGCATCGATCAATGAAATTGAAATGGGGATCTTAACGAGAGAATGGAAACAAACCTTGATGATTCTTCGAGGGAGATTACTGTTGGCCATAATCAGGGTCGATTGCAAAGCACGCAATAGGGTTTTGAGTCAAAGAGAGAGAAACAGACAACTTTCTCTCACTAACACAAAGGAGAACAATGCTCTACGAGAAGCCATTATCTCTCGCTGCTATTTATATAAATTTTTGCAATTGTGAAAAAATAATAAAGAATTTGTTAACTGTTTAAAATTTTTTTTTAACAAAATACTATTTAAAAAAAATAATTTTTAGTTTTTTAATTTTTAAAAATTATAAAAGTAATTAACAGTAGCAGAAGAAATAGTAAAGATTTTGTTAACAGCATTAAAAAATAATTTTTAGTTTTTTAACTTTAGAAAATTTTAAAAATAGTTTAATAATTATTATATTAAAATAAATTTTATTTTTAAAAAATTAAAAGATAATAAAATATTTCTTTGTTTTTAGTTTTTAGTTTTTGTTAATGATCCATGTGTTTTCATTTATGTTCTATATTATGAAAAAAAAAACAATTAAAGAGAAACAAGTAATTGGTGTAATGAAATGGTCGAGAAGAAAATATTTCTATTGTCTAAAATTGTAATTACATTCACAGCAATATTATTTTATAAAATTACCTTTGTTATTTTTATGATTAAAATTTCAATTTATATATATAGTGTATGATAAATAAGAAAATAATTAAAAAATCATAAAAATAATTTAATATATTTTATATTTTTTAATGTGATATTATTTTATTAATTTAAATTTAAATATTTATGAAAAAATATAATTTTATAATATTAAAACAATAATTATATATTAAAGTATATAAATAAAATATTAATTTAAAGATCTTAACTTAAAAATTTATTTCATTTATAATAAATTAATTAAGAATTTATAATAAATTAATTAAGAATTTATAATAAATTAATTAAGAATTGTATGAGTATTTTATGATGATAAAAATGTTTAATTTTAATTTAAGAAAAATATATTTTTTATCTCTTTCTTAGAAAAAAAGTGTGAAAAAGAAAAAACGAGATAAGGAGAAGAGATGAAATACATCATTAATCCTATAAATAATATATTTTTTTAAATTATTTAAATGAAATCTTTATCAATTTATTTATTAAGATAGATATCTCTTGTTCATATACAATTTGTTGGTAATGATGATTGAGTCCTAATTTCAGGTTCAAATCCAATAACAACTTCTTCTAGTTAAGAAGGCTGGATACAAATCGACTAGTGAAATATATCTTGTGCGATGAACTCCTTCAAGGTTCTTTTTTGGTTAACCTTCATTTAAGATGTTTGTGAAAAAGAAAAAGAACACGATGTAAGATCTTTGATCAAAATTTTTAGTTGTTTTTGTCTTTCCCTCTTGTAGTCTCCTCCACTTCTTCAATCCCTTAAAAGTAATTTCAATTCAAGATCTAACAGTTGTAGCTCACATTTTCGTGATTGAGTCATGCACCATTGAAGTACCTAGAAGAATCTCTTGCCTATTGAAATAACAACAATGGACCGTGAACAAGTACACTAGGTAGATTACCAGGAAAAAAAGTGGTTCACTAATAGACACGCTTTAATATAAAGTATTTCCTTGTCATAACCCTTCTAGACATGCACTTTCACACTACCAAACTATATTTAGAATTTCTGCAAGAATGGTTAGGAAAAATATTAAAAAAAAAACTAGAAAAAAAGATATTAGACAATGTGACACAATACAATTATGTTCCTAATAATGGCGCCATTTGACGACAACATTTTAGTCGTACAATATATTAATCAAAATTTAACAAGTTACTAAACTAATACAATATAACTAACTCGTATCGAATATCACAAGGATATAATTATAAGAATATACCTATTACTACTTATAAGAATAAAAAAATTTACATAACTAGAATTTATATTAAAAAATTGAGTGCTTTTAATTAAATTTAAAATTTGTCAAAACATAGTGCAATATCAAAATTTGCTTTTAATTGTTAAATTCAAATTTGTCAATGATGAGAGAATCATATGCATGCAAAACTAAGCAATAATAAGAAAATCAAGGAGATGAACGTAATTGGAATTTAATTAAAACAAATTGGATTGAATGAATTGCATATACTAACTAATCAATGAAAAACAAATGAATCCGAAATTTGGGTTGAGTGCATGAGTGAATTAGGGAAAATTGTGAGGGAATAAAGTAAAATTGTTACAAGAATCGAAAAATAGACGAATTGAAAATGAGAATTAAGCAAACTAAGTACTAGAATTAAATAAATTTTTTAAACAAGCGAGATAATAGAAATTAAATCGAGTACAAGATGAATAAAGCAAAGCTGAACAATATAAAGCTGGAAGATTCAATAGAAATTGTAAATTAAATTAAAAAAAGAGAATAATATGAGTACTTGCAGTGCCTCCTTGCTAAGCTCGTTAAACTAGTAACAAAACTTGAAATTTTACGGAGAAAAGAAGTGGGAAAGCAAGACCGGAGATGCTCGAAAAGAAGATAATAATGCTTGCTCTTGTTAGACATCTTATTTATAGGTGACTTACCATGATAAAATAATTTGATAATTAATTACAATAAAAATCAAATATTTCCTTAATTAAAAAATTACAAAACTCAATTATTACTTCTATTGCGAAGGGGGATTTGATTGTGTTAATAAAGTTGACAACGAGAAAATTCAGGGACTAATTTGAGAAAATAAGTCAGGCTTCTACTTTCCTAATTTGTTGGCCTTTAATTTAGATAGATTGGCTTCATGCAACGAGTTAATTTGATTGATTCAAAATTTTCATTTATAATGTTCTGGACGTGGACTAATGAAATGGAGCAACACACCAGACATTTGAATTGCTGGCCATCCACATCTCCAATGAGTCGCACAAGAAAACTTAAGCTTTTGAGAAGAGTGAAGCTCGGTTGCACATGATACTTGTTAGGAATTTGAGTCTTTATTTCCATTAACTTAACCCAATTTAAATAATCTCAAATTACATTTCTCCTATAAAAAAAAATGCATTATGGATGTATGAATGTATGCTTTGATGCTAAAATTATGCAAAATACAATAAATTTAGTGAAATTAAATTATGCTATGTTTTTATGAAAATATGTTAAATGCATGGTTTATGAAAAGAATAATTAACTTAGAAAATGCTTTTAAATCAAGAAATAAAGAGTAGAATGACATACATTAAATACTTCTCACTTTTGTTATTTTGCACTTCTAAGCAAAAAATAAAAGAAAGAAAAGTATGCATGTATGTAATGCAAAGATGGTTACTATTGTAAACGTTAGTGACATCCTGAAAACTACAATGGTCAAGAAAAACTTCATTAATTAAAAGTGAAAGAATAAAAAAGATCAAGATCATAACTTACAAGGTATCATCATGGTCAAGTACTCTTTAATGGTTATATGAATCAATTTAAGGGAACATCCTCTCGTGATAAAATATTTGTTCTAATTTCTCAAGTGTTTATGCTAAAAATTCCACTCATCATCACAACATTCTTTACCATAAACTTGAAAGATCTCTAATTTCCCACCATTATAACACATACCTCAACATATCAATAAGACTTTTATTTGGCTTGTAATGGGACTAGGGTTAAGGATAGGTTAGGATAGGAAAGTGAGTTAAGATCTTAGGTAAAATAAAGAACATGATCATTGTACCTAAAGCTTTGTTCCATTTACTTCTTTCGTTTTGCCACTTTTGTATTGGAGTGCCTTGTAAGCTCCTTTATTGCATTGTAGTGCTCAACTTTCTTCCTTTTTTTTTTCAAGAAAAAAAAAACTTTGGCACTTCTCTTTTTTCTAGCATTATTGATTGCTTGTAGAATTGATATTTTTTTTTTAATGATTCCAAGCTCCTTACTTTCCTTTGAGTCTTTCCTTTAAGTCTGGTTGTGGATGGTTTCCAGGTTGGAAAGACTTTAATTTTCAGGTTTAAATCTAAGAAAAGGATAAGGTTCAAATGTGGGTTTAAAGGGTAATTTAAGGTAAGGGTAGGCTATTTGGCTATATGCTCGACTGGTATCTCAGAGAAATTAATCAAATTCTGGAAAGTTCCCATGTCATGAATGATGCACACAAGAAGAAATAATGCTCAAAACTCACCTAGGTGCTTTGTTTAACCCGAAATTGATTCAAACCAATGTTAATGTAACTTGGCCATGAGTTTCTATGTGAATCAAACCTTTAAACTTTGAACTCTTCCTGCTGATCAAGTCGATCATATTTTTTCAGGTAGTTCTACATCAATCTACAACATTACATAATAGTTAAAACAAAATATGAACGAAACCTCATGTATGAAATGAAAATACTCCCCACTTTTAAAGTTAACATTGTCTTCAATGTGGAGAATTCATGTTATGCAAATGCAAATCTTTAACGAGCTAAACTAGCTCGAATCTTGGGCCTATCTCTTCAGATGATACAAGTACTTAGGACATCAAGTAGCAACTCAGCTCAACTAGTGGGAGGCTTCAACTGTTCACTGTTCACCTTGAATGTCTTATCATCGTTCATGTGTCGAATCTCTATTGCTCCATGAGAGAAGACGTTAGTGACGATATATGGTCCATCCCACTTTTACTTTAGCTTTCCCGAGATTAACTTCAATCTAGAGTTAAACATCAACACCTTTTGACCAATCTCCAACTCCTTTTTCATTATATTGTTGTCATGAAATATCTTAACCTTCTCTTTTTAGATCTTGAAGTTCTCATATGCTTGCAACATTATCACTTTTAACTCTCCTAATTGCAATTTCCTTTCTTGACCGACTTGCTTAAGATCAAGGGTGCAACACTTGACAACCCAATATGACTTATGTTGGACCTCCATAGGTGTGGCAATTGGGGTCATGACTAGGCAATAAAAAACGATAGAGATTTAAAAAATGAAAAAGTGAGATTATCCCCATAGTTTATTAAGGAAAACTACGAAAAAATCTAAAAATAAGACAAAGTCTATGAAAACCAGATTTTTGGTCCAGTATTCAATTATACGTAGGGAAGTGTCCACCCAAAGTGGTACCTTTAATTAAATATGTGAAATTGATGTGATTTTCAAAATGTTTATTTTCCCGAGAAAAAACAAAAGAATGGACAAAATATTTTTGTTGGGGCCCAACATGAATGAATTCTTGTTCTTACATTTTCTCATTCAAAATGAGAAATTAGGGATAAGTAATTCTTTAAAAAAGTGTGTTGATTAATATTTAAAAAAATTATTTTAGAAAAAAAAAAACAATTTATATATTTTTGTTTCTTTTTTTATTTGAAAGGGGTTTCCAAGTGTAAGACGATGCAAACAATTGTACTAAATATACTCTTTACTGAATGGGTATAAAACGGTGTAGATGACCATGCATATACCTGAAAGAGTTTATTTTGAAGAGGCACGTAATGACACGTGCGATCATACTCCTGCTCCAAAAGCTTATTTAAAATGATGATAACATGACAAAACGTGTAACACCAGTACCTCAAAATTTATTTTAAAAAGAAAAATTAAAAATAAACACATTTCATATCCACCAATACTCTCCTAAGCACCGATAGTCCCAATAACCTAAATCGTGGATGGGCAGGGGCCACTAAATTGAATATAAAAAATAAAAATAAAAACTAAAAAAAGTAGAGATTCGAAGGCATCCTAAATCATATAAAAACTACCCTACAACAGACACACAACATTTTATAACTACGTATAAACGAGACTTATATCAAATACAATTCACTATCAATCAACAACCAAAAATCAAAAGTACTATCAAATTCAATTAGTAATAAAAAATTCGGTAGCATAACAACAAAAATATGACTCCAACCACATGACCCGCGATCCTTAACGGTAAAGGTAAAACAAAACAAGAAAAAAGGACCCATGGTCCTCTTTAATCCAGTTGCAGTTCATAAATCCCTGTACACACTAGCATTTCAGACAAAGGCATGAAACAACTAACACTCCAGATCAATTAATGAAACAACATCAAAATAAAAAGGAGATGGGAGAAAAATTACAGCTCTTGACTCGTAATGCCACCCAGGACCGCAAGAGGAGAGACTCCTGGGGCGTGGTCGAGACTCTTGCCCCTGCAATGAAAGGCGATTTGGGGATGGAGATGCGGTGATAGGGCTAGGATGGTGGTGAACTTGGTGGGTGGCTAGGGCCTGAGCGACGAGGGGAAGAAGCTAGGCTAACGATTGGCTTGCGGTGGAGAGTGGTTCACGGTAAAGGTAGGGTTGGTCGGTGAAGGCGCGAGAATCGCGCGACACATTGGGTGACGGGGGTCAGTGGAGGTTGACGACGATGTGGTCGAAAGCGTGGGCATAAGGTGGCTTGTGTGTAGGGTGAGGGAGAGCAAAAAGGAAAGAGGGATTGGGCATAAGGGAGAGTGAACAGTGAAGGTGTGGCTAGAGGTGCAGTGAGGGGTGAGGAAGGGACTCGTGACAATGACAAGGAACCAACATAAGCTAAATATACAGATGTAAAAAAATAAACAAAAAATTTACCTTAGCAGCTTGCGGCTCCTTTACTCTCGTAATTCATGCCCCCTTTTATTCTACTATTCCTTTATAATGAGGTTTTTTAGGTTAAAAATGAGATCAGGCAACCTCTTCTATCAAAATGGATAGAACCAAAAGAACAAAATAAAAGATTTTTCTTTTTATTAATTTAAAAACATTTTTATTTTTATTCTATTTTAAAAAATACTGAGAAAAGGAATTATATTTTTTCATTTTCCTTTTTTTCATCCTCAAAGAAATATAAACAAAACTATTTTTTCTTAAAAATGTAAAATTTTGATAAAGCAACTTTTTTTTTCTATTTTTCATCATCATTGTTTTTTTTTTAATTTTAAAAAGAGTAAAATATTGAAAAAAATGGAACTATTTATTTCATTATTATTAATAATTTGTTACCTGAACGAAATTAGGTGTTGACAGTTAAAAATTTATGTATCATAGTAAAAAATAAGTAAATATAAAAATAAAAATTTCATTTGGATTTCTAAAATATACAAAGATGAAGGAAGATAAATAAGAAATCACTTCGCCTAAACATATATGATCAATTCCACGAAGAGGGTCACGATGAAACTACTCCCAAGGAGAGACATTGTTTTAGAGGAAAGATGAAAATCAGTTACCATTCCCAAGGAGAGAGTCATGATGTAAGAAATCTTATCTCTTTGAAATCTTGAATCTTTAAAAATTGGATTAGACTAATCCTGAGGAGAGGGTCTACATCTAAAGGAATCGGTGACCATTACTAAGTAGATAGTATCGATCTGAGAAACTTTTTATCTGAAATTGACTTTTTGAAAAATGGATTATAATCCAATTTTGGAGTTTGTTTTCAAGTCTTCAGAATCCAATCTAAAATCTCAGAGAACATGTGAGGGGAAATGTACAAATCTATCTTTCAGTCTTATTTGGATGACAAATAAAAAAAGAATAATACAAATATATAATTATATCATATGACTCATTCAATATGGTACAACGAATATATTTACTATTTAATATTAATTTTAGTATTAGCTAAGTCAATTATTTTATGTAGATTAAGAAAATGATAAAATAGTTTTATGTGAAATTAAATTTGTAAGTATAACAAACAGAGCTTTCAATTAATCTAATGATACTCATGATATAAAAATGACTTATCTTTTACCATTTGAATCAATTCTTCAAACATGAGCTAGACAAGCACTGAAAAATAGCAAGTTGGCATTTGCTTGGAACATAATAGCTAGCAATCAAAGAGAAACACAAAAAAATATGTTGTTCTCGAGTAAGAATATTGTTTGTTTCATAAATCAAATTAGTTCTTTCCTTTATTATTTCAATTTCCATTCAATGTAAACAACTTTATTATGTCTAATAAATAGAAATCATGATTAGGATGAATTATGTCAAGATAATTTGTAATTGAATGATAGTTGTACATGGTTCCATTATGATTATGATTGTATATGGTTTCATCAGTAATTAATATTAACTAGACCTCCTTGATTTCCATGACTGCAAAATTGATGGGTTATAAATGTGTATATTTTCAGTTGTCTAGAATATATTAGATCTCAGAGCTCTTATTTTAGTTAGTTTGGCCTTGCAAATAGTCCAAATATTTCATGGCAACCAAAGAAAGTACATGACCAGTATATGGGTGCAATTAAGTGTATGGTTTACCTATTTGGTAGCAGATGGGATTACTACCTTAAATCAAATAAAATATTTTTGTATGTTACAATAAAATATTTAATGTAATTCTATTCATGTTTTTGGTTTTCCAGGAGATCAGGTCTCGAGATGTAGTCCATATTATTAACTCAACTTGGCTTCTTAACTTAGACAGAAGTGAAATTACAAATTTAAAAACACTAGTGACAGATACAATATCTATTTTCTACAATATCTTCTTAATTTGTATTTTCTTAAAGGTAGTTAATTTGATTAAGGTTTTATTGAGTTTTTGTTACACATGGATTCACCTGCTTAGGCTTACAATATTTCACATCATAGCCATAATAAAAGCTTGATAGAGACAGGTTGACAATGTGAACATGTTGATGAATTAAACATAATCCAACATTAGAATTTATTCTAAAGAACATTAGAATTTAAGTTTGTAACATGTGTTAATGTTAAACTTAATAATAATTTATTTTCTTGAAAACATAACTTTTTTAATTTTGTTAAACTAGCTGCAAGAGTAATGAGACCAGATCGAAGATGGATGTTACAAAGAAATAATCAATTCGACATTATAACTAAAGAATTCAGAAATGGTGTTGATGATTTTATTCAAATAGTGACAAGAGACCCGAAATTTGCTGATGTAGCAGGGCATATTCCTTGCCCATGTGGAAAATGTAGGAATCGTTATTGGGATGCATCATTTTATGTGGAAAAATATTTGTATCACCATGGATTTATGGATGGTTACACAAATTAGATCCTTCATGGTGAGGAAAGATGGATCGATGATGTATCAACTTCTGTCTTTCAAGAACATAATGAGGATAATAGAAGTCCATATGTTGATATGGTTATGGACGCTGCTTATGTTAGATTAAATCCAAAAGCTATCATTTTATAAGCTTATAATTTTTTTATTGTATTGATATAAAACTTTTTAGTTGATACATAATATTTTAGTTGAAATATTATTTTTGTTATGTTTTAATTGTTTGAAGCATTGACTATGTTTAAACAATACTTTTATATTGAAAATTGATAAGTTTGTCTTCTTTTTTCAAGAATATGAGTAATAATTTAAATGTTAAATATTTGATATTATAATGTTATGATGATACTTTAGCAGAAATATCTACTATGCCAATAATAATAATTAGTAAATTATTTGCAAATAAAATTACGAGAGATTAACTACGGATTAACGATAGAATAATTTTGATATATAGTAGCGACAAATAATTGTGAGGGATTAGCTATGAAATAACAAGATAAACATTGCGAGGAATTAACTCCAGATCAGCTAGATATAAATTTTCAGGGATTAACTACAGATTAGTGATAGAAAAATTGTGAGGGATTAGCTACGAATTAGCGAGAGCGAAATTGCGAGGGATTAGCAAGAGAGAAATTGCAAGAGATTAGCTACGGATTAACGAGAGAAAAATGAGAGGAATTAACTACAAGTTAACTAGAAATTTAGGAGATCAATTAGCTAGAGAAAGACAAAATTTCATCACTTAAATTAGCGAGGGACTTAATGACAGATTGACAACAAAATTTGCTACAAATTTGAGAGAGAATATATCTCTATCTAATTAGCTACTTAGATTTAACGACAAAATATACCATAGTTATTCCGTATATAATCTGTAGTAGCGAGATATTAGCTATAAAATAGTTATAGAATGTGTCATAACTAATATGTAAAATTATTGTAGTGTTAGATTTATCCCAAGGAGAGGGTCTATATCCAAAGGATTCAACAACCATTACCAAATAGAGGGCCACATGTTGAAAACCTCTTATTTCTTTGAAATTTTAACTTTTTAAAAAATGGATTAAACCAATCCTGAGAAGAAAGATTCGACGACTATTACTAAGGAGAGGGTCTCGGTCCAAAAACTTTTCTCTTTGAAAATTTGACTATTTGAAAGATGGGTTAGACCAATCTAAAGAGAGGGTCATGGCAAAAGGAGAACCTGAAGGCTTTAAAGCATTGGCAAGCACCGCATGAATGCCAAGTATCGGTGAGACTTACAAAAAATATTTGTCCTGACTGTATTTATTTTTCCAGATGTTCCCTTTTTTGGACGATTTTCTTTGAATGACTTCCACTATTTTTTATGGAGCATGATGGACGTGATGTGAAGTAAACTTATGTACATAATATGAGCTCCTATTGAACACTGGTGATGCATGGTATGTTATGATTTTCCTTTTGAACCCAGACAATTATGCGAGCATGATGCATGTATGCATGGGTGGGATCCGCATGAGACCCTTGCTTGCTTCTTTCTCATTTTCCTTTCCCTTTTTTGATTTTTCATTTTTATTACTACTTTTTCGCCTTTTGTTGTTTTTTTCTTTTCTTTAGAAAGCTATACTTAGAATCCCTTGTCAACGCAGTTGTCAAATCCAATGCGTGTTCATTACATGTTCTTTTTTGGTATCGCCTTTATGTTCAAAACATAATGGTGAGGGTTGATGAGAATCTTGGTGAAAAGTGGGGTAATCATGCATTCAATCTTCCTTTTTTTTCACACCATACAATTCCTATTAGCCTGAACCCGTGGATGGGGGAGAAGTGGAAATGAATTTTGTAAGAGATCGAACGAATGCTTGCGGGTTGGTTTGCCCTTGGTACATTCTTCCTTGGAGGTGATTATGTTAATGTTTGGGGATAAAAAATCTATTCCAATTTTATTATGCTGAATAAGGATATGATTTGACGGGATGGAAAGAATCGAATGTAAAGGATTGCCCCAGTTTTGACTCCTTTAGGTTTGACCTGTTGGCTAATAGGAGGATATTCCTTTTTTTTTGTGATTGTGTCATCAATCCCGTCCTTTTGTCCTCAAGTTAAGCTTGTGAGAAAAATTAAGACCTACATTCTTTAATCAGGGTGAACTTTTATTCGCTTGTATCATGGCTAAGGGTTACATGGGTTATGAAGAAAGTGGATATGGAGGTCCAAATAATTGTTTACATGTTTGAACTTGTTTAGAACAAGAATCATCTGCAAGATGTCGTGTCAGCCATTGACCAGGGTTTTGAGCTTTGGATTTTTATTCTTTTATTTCCCTTCTTTTCTTTTCGTTTTGCGCCATTTGTATTGTCATCACTGTGA